TCTTTTAAAGCTGCAGATTTACAAAAATGTGCCAAATGTCCCCACAAGTATAGTAATACCAGTACATTTTATACTTGAGACATTTTTTTTGGTCCTGATGAGGAAAACTGCTCATAAATCAGACAGAATGAAGTGTTTTGAACATGTAAAAGTGCAGATTGTTTGCTGGTTTAGGGGTTGAGTTGGAGAAAAGGACAAAATATACAGTACAAACATCATTGTCTATGAGAAGTCCCCATAAAGATAGCTGTACAAGTGTGTGTGTGCGCACAGATCTCGAGTGTGAAGGTTTCTTCTCTCCACAAGCAGAAAAAAAACAGCAGCTGCAGATGCCAACAGGCCTTTAAGGTCAGTGTTGCTCATCAAATCCCAGCGCTCACACCTCAGCCCTACCCACAATCCTCCTGCACCCAATTTAAACTCTTCTCTTTCCATTCTGTGCGTTATCCATCTTTATTTCTGGCAGCACAAGCAGCACCAGTGGGATTTGTTTTCACAACTCGCATGTGATGTGATGTGGAGTCACCATAGAGCGACTGTCCTCCAGTGTTTTCATCATTAAGACTAAACCTGCAGCCTTCAGATGAGCATCCTCAAGTAAATACTGCTTGTTTATCAATGCTGAATGTACGTGTTTATATGTTTTAAAGGGATAGTTCACCCAAACAATGCTAAATATCCAGTTAATTTACTCACAAACAGGTCATCCAAGATGTAGGTGACATTGTTTCTTCTTCAGTAGATCACTAAAGCAGATTCTGAGCTGAATCTGAGGTCATTGGTGATTGATATAATGGCAGTGAATGGTGACAGGTTTCTGAGATTAAAATAAACACATACAAACAAGTCCAAATCAAAAGCCATGGCTCCTGATGACACACTGAGGTCTTGTAAAGCCAAACGATTGGTCTGTGTAAGAAATTGAACGTTATTTAAAATATCATTAGCTCTAATCCACAGCATGGTCATACAGATATTGGCAGATTTGTCGTCAAAGCAGCTGAACTACATGCAGCGAGATCTGTTAGACCAGGCAAATAATATAGTAGATAATGTTCAGTTTCTAACATGGACCGATTGTTTGGCTTAGTGTGATCTTGAACCATGACTATTGATCTTGACTCATTTGTATTTGTTTATTTTAATTTATAAAACCGGTCACTATTCACTGCCATTATATATTTTATATATAACATTATATATATATATATAGTATATATATATATATATATATATATATATATATATATATATATACACATACACACACACACACACACACACACACCAGCCACTTTATTAGGTACACATTACTAGTACTGGGTTGGTACCCCCTTTTGCCTAGATTCAACAAGGTACTGGAAATATTCCTCTGAGATTTTGCTCCATATTGACATGATAGCATCACACAGTTGCTGCAGATTTGCCGGCTCCACATCCATGATGAGAATCTCCCATTCCACCACATCCTAAAGATGCTCTATTGGATTAAGTTCTGGTGACTGTGGAGGCCATTTGAGTACAGTGAACTCATTGTCATGTTCACCAGTCTGAGATGATTCGCGCTTTATGACATGTTGTGTTATCCTGCTGGAAGTAGCCATCAGAAGATGGAGACACTGTGGTCATAAATGGATGGACATGGTCAGCGTTGACACGATCCTCAATTGGTACTTATGGGCCCAAAGTGTGCCAAGAAAATCTCCCCCACACCATTACACCACCAGCAGCAGCCTGAACCGTTGATACAAGACAGGATGGATCCATGCTTTCATGATGTTGATGCCAAATTCTGACCCGACCATCTGAATGTGGCAGCAGAAATGGAGACTCATCAGAGCAGGCAACGTTTCTCCAATCTTCTATTGTCCAGTTTTGGTGAGCCTGTGTGAATTGTAGCCTCAGTTTCCTGTTCTTAGCTGACAGGAGCGGCACCTGGTGTGATCTTCTGCTGCTGTAGCCCATCTGCCTTAAGGTTGGACGTGTTGTGTGTTCAGAGATGCTCTTCTGCAGACCTCTGTTGTAGCGTATATCTTTTTTTAAAGTGTGACTGAAGAAGAAAAAAGTCACCTACATCTTGGATGGCCTCTGGGTGAGTAAATTAACAAGAAATGTTCAATTTTGGGTGAGCTACCCCTTTAAATATCATCTTCTCAGAATGAACATAACACAGAAACTTCATTTTCTGTCCAGAGCCCAGGAGAGAACCCTGAGCTCGGAGAAAGCCCAAGGCTCCAGCTCGGTCGATAAGCATATAAGGGGATCCGAGATCAGGTAGGTGTCGAGAGCACACCCTTAGAAAAGGGAGGAAAAGGAGGAGTTGGGCCGGAAGGGGGGATTCTTCCAAAACGAAGATAGAGCAGTAGGGAGAAAACGAACCATTTATAGTAAGCTAGGATCACTCTGATTGGATTTTTACTGATTACAGATGAGAAGCCAGTCATTCTGATTTAAATCACATGCTTCGCCTAAACTTTACTGTAGAAATACCATGTTGAAATCATAGTATTGCCACGCAAACATATATGAGAAGCCATTAAAGTGCTTAATTGTGTATAATCCATGGACAGAAAATCTGAAATATCAGTGTACTACCATGAAGATCAAAAATCCTACATTCTTAGTGTATGTCTGCTGGTATGGTATGGCATGTAGCATAGTGCTACTATGCTATATTTACAGTAATACCACAGTACATGATTTAAACAAGCCAAAGCATAGTATACATGATGTAAACATCCAAAAACAAATCATCTTGC